TCTGCTGTTTCCTTAGAAAAATATTTACTTTTTAACATCTGTACTGCATTTCCACAGTTCAAACACACACATAGCTCCTGGAATGTACACAGTATTTAGCAAATTTTTAACTAAGTTTTCTTAGTAATTGTATAGTTTTCCCTTGACAAAGACAGGATCAGACTTTTTCAGAAGGATTACCTCTGCTCAACTCATTTCAAGCAGCTCTTGAATAAAATAGTTCATTAGTTCATGAAAAGGAAAAACTCCAGGGAACTGCTGGGGAAGGAAGAGAAAAGAACAGAGAGCCACAGTAATTAGGTTTTCAGATTGTCCCTTATCCTCCAGAATGCAGGTACACACACACACGTGTCCCTCTTCCCCTTAGGTAAAGCATTTAGGGGAGCTCATTGCACATTTTTCCCTGGGAATCAGTGTTGCAGAGATTAAAGTTGTAACCAGGCCATCAGTTCCCAAAAAGATATTAAAAGATACAAGTTCCTTATAGTACTATTGCTCTCACTACCCAGCAGCGAAAGGGCAGCTTTCCCCACTTTGCAAGCATTTAAACAGCTTAGTTTCAGACGTCCTTAAAATTCAGTTTTCCAACCTTTTCAGGGTCCCATGGCTGATACTGGGAAACCAGAGGATCTCCACAGACCAGAAATCACTGCCTGGGTGTGCGGGCAGCTGGGGGGCAGCAGAGCCAGTGACTGTACTTACCAGGGGTCAGGGAAAGGGTTGGTAGGAATGAGGATGAGAAGCATGGAGAACCGGTGGGGGTTACAATTGTTCACTGGCAATTGCTGACCAGAGGAAAACCTCTTTTGGTCTGGACTTAGCACAGTAGAGGATACAGAGCATCCCAGGGTCCTACCAATTCATGGGAGGGCAGATCATCATCAGGACTGACAGCACCATGCAGTTTCTTTGTGGCTTTACACTACCTGGCTCAGAGGCAGCACAGCCTTCACACTCTTCTCCCATTGCTCCTTCTGTCTGCTCTGCACTTACACCAAAAGCACTCAGGTAATCTGCAGGTCTCCAGCCAAACTGACTAAACAATCAATACAGCTCTGGTGATACTTCTCTGCGCTTTGTCACCCTCTCATTTCAAGTCGGCTTGAGACCACCAAGAAACGTCTTCATCAGAAACATCAACGGGTCACTACCTGGCTGGCAGAAATCAGTGACCTTGAATTATGCATAGACAGCAGACTGTATGACTGGAAAAATCAGGAGACATAAGAAGAATGTGTTGCAGCCTCTATGAACTCTCCAATTCTCCTTGTTAAAGGGTGCTTATTTTGAAACCTGGCTTTTCACACAGATTTATTGTGATTTTCCAAAAATAATGTTTTGCAGTATCCTTAAATTGTTACATTCCAATTGTTATTATGGATTACAAATTAGATCCTGGCCTTTCATCTGCTGAGGGGGGTTAGTTTCAACCCTTAGTTTAGTTGAGCACCATGAAAGATTCCTTCACCTACATATCATCATTTAAAACAGACTGGTAGGGTAAGAACTGAGCTATAACATGATAGAAACGCAACTCTTACTTGAATAATGATTTGCATATCAGATTATTAAATGAAAATCTATCAAACTATCATTTATTGAAATAAACAAACAGTCTATCTGCCCTGTTTCTGGGAACATTTTGCCTAAGGGAAAAATTTAAACCTGGGCAGATAATCAGGATAAGGTATTTGAACATTGAAATCCTGCTGGAGTCTTCAAAGTAGGTGTTAAGTGGTGCATTAAATTTGTGCTGTTTCTTCTGAGCAGGGTGAATTTGCTCTTCTGTAAATAGTGGGAAAAGCATTTTACAATAATTTGAATCCATGAATAAATGTAATATATTAAAATTTCTAAAGTACGACCACTAAATGTTTTTGTACATAAGCCAAATGAGTGGAATACCGAGGACTGAAATTGCTTGACTGACCAAAGAAAGATAATATATAATTAAAATGACATCTGCAGCACTAACCGATGGGATGAGAGAAAGTGACATCACAGATCTCATATAAACTGCAAGCGTATTATTAGATCTAAACCTGGCTGTAAAATTACTATCTGCCCATGGGATTATCTTTAGGCATTCAGAGCCATTGTTTCATTTACTGATAGAACAGGGATGATAACAGGCTGACTTTGCTTGTCACATTGTTTTTTTGGCCTTTCTTTATTCTTCGTTCACATTAGCTGCAGATGAGAGGAAGACAAGCTTCAGCTTTATCACTTTTGTGGAGCTTTTCATTGTTTTACAGTTTGCTCCCAAGGCTTGCTTTTTTTCCCCCCCTTTTTTTTTCCACCACAGAAAAAAAACAAAAGCATTTTTATTGGTGGTAAAATCAATGAGGAGTAAAAGATGCACACAATGTAACATGTAGGAATGTGGCCACCCAATGAATACCCGTTGGCCTAATGGAGCACAAGGTGACCATAAGACTTTGATTATAGCTCCCATTATTAGCACAAAGAACCAGTAGCTACTGGTAATATCTTGACCTCGTTAAAATTCAGTGCTAAAACTCTGACTGACTTCAGTGGGTCCATTTCATCATTCGAGACCTAGGACACGGGACATAATTCTCCTTCAATGAGAGGCTATCTGGGACACCTAATCTCTACAGATTACATTTTTGCATTAAATTGGACACAGCTGCATTTTGATCTCTTTCACATACCATTTTTATGTTCCTGGCAAATTATTAAGTTGCCTATACTTGTAACAAGACTCATGTTCCACCAACCTAAAATAGTCAAAATTCCAAGAGCACATAAAGAGACAGGCAGTGAAAAGGTGGGGGGAGGGTGGGGGGAGTGGAAAGGAAGCTCCAAACTTTCCAGTCACTTTTGAAAGCCATACTAATGATCCTGAACTGCAAAGGGGACTTAATGCACTCTCATATGTCAATTTTGCAAACTAGGCAAAAGTCCAGGAGAGGAGCAGACGGGACCACAGCCAGTCATGGACTTGTGCATACACTGCTAAGGCAAACATGGACCTTGTACTTACCTCCACACTGCCCTGATACTGGGCAGCTCCTGCCATGTGTTATCTCTTACAGCATCTCCCAACATCCCTTCCAATATAACCTTAAACCCCTGCTCCACCAACCACTGAAACCTGAAAACAGGCTGCATATGCAGAAAATGCTGCCTGTTGCTCTTGTTGCTACCATCTTGCTTTTCTTAGTGTTTTCTCCTAACCATATCCACCTGCTGTGCTTTATCTCAGCCTTCAGTTTGAGATATATCTCCAGTATAGTGAAGGATTTAGCCTGTGATTGATGCCCTCAGTACTACTGCCACAGAAAAACATTGCATTTTATTAATGGTAGTTAATACATTAACTACTTTTAATCATCATTAGATTGTTTCATTATCCCTTTTATCCTTCACTGATACACAGAATAGACTTTTCATACAGACCCCTTCAGTATAAATCTTTCCTTCAAAACCATCCATCCATACAGCCACACCAATATGCCATTAAAATCTTACACTGGATTTGTGCACTAGAAATGAGGTGTCTGCAAACAGCTTAGATACACCACCCTGTTAGAAAATATTCCTCCAGCACTCAGCCTGGGCCAAAAACCATGTTTATGAATCAGGAATTGTTTGCAGACAGTCAGTGGTACTTACAACCTTTTGCATGTAAAGAAGGATGGAAACAAAGACCTAAAGGCAAGTGAGGGTAAAGACTCATAAAGATGGGTTAGAGGAAAAACAAGCAGCATGTGGTGATAAAGCACAACGAATACAGAAGTGAGACTTCAGCGCAGAAAAAGTCAAAGAAAAAGAGCAGAACATGCAACACAGCAAAGAGCATCAGTATCTTTGAAAATCAATTTGATTTTTAAATGTGTCCTGGATGTAATATAGGGTAAACTGAAATCTGTTTTTTTCCTGAAAGGTGACAGCTGTGGGGCTAAGATGTGAGAAAAAGTTGGGAGGAGCCATTCTCACCTGTGCTGTTACCCCATCAGAATTGTTCATCTCAAAGTGGTAAGAAACATCTCTTATATTTCAATATTAACAACTTCTTAATGTGTATGTTGTAGCATGTTTCATGTCAATTGCTGTGCAAAATTTGTCACAATTACCCTTAAAATGGAATTCTCATTGATATTTGTTTCTCACTACACATCCATAATTAAGTCGTTAACATATTTTCAGGGAAATTATGTGAAGTCTGCAGTAAAGAATGGTCCAAAAGGACATGTAGACCTAAAGAACTTTCTTATCACAGAAATGAAACACATGCCTATGTTCCAAATGCTTCTTACATCAAAAATACAAAGACTTTCATGACAACTCATGTGCTTTCAGATACTTCATAAAACAATGATTACAACAAAACAAAAAGTCCCAGAACTGCTGTATGTCCAGATGAGAAATACACAGGTCACAAAAGATTTGCTAATAATACATATTCATTAGTTTGCATCCTTCAGTTAGAATTTATTACCTTTCTCTTTAGCCATCTCAATATCAAGTGTCTGCTTTTAACCAGACATTCAGATTCTTTCCCTTCTCCAAAGCAGTAGGAACTGTCACAGGACTATATAAAACCTACCTCAGCTGCTAGGGGATGACTGGGTTGAAACACTTAGTGGGGCTCCCCTTTTCTCGGTCATTAAGGAAAAGTAGCATAGACAAAACACCTGACTTGAAGATGAAAAAAGATTCTACAGGGTGAAGCGCTCCTTCTCAGTTTAGAAACTGGGTTAGAAAGTCATCCCTGATGTAACATTTTCTGCATCCTTATTTGAACAGGAAGACTACCAGAAGCAGTCTTTCTTGTAATATGTTAACAATTCTGCATCAACACTAAGCCTGGTTGATGGTACCTAAAGCTAAAAATGGATAAAGTCTTCACTAAATTGCTTTGAATGTTCAAACAGACTGAGTTTCCTTTTTCAACTGAGACTTATGCCACTTCCAGGTTTTTTTTTCCTCAAAACATTTGCTTATCTGTATATTTATCACAGAAATGGCCTTACCTCAGCTGCATCTTGCTGGTCTCTGAAGACAATTGCATTTTTTATGGTTCGGATGAAAAATCCATTCAGTTCCTTTTGTTTCTTGTTTGGCAAAATCCGGAGCAATGGAATCATTATGAATGGGAAGGAAACTGTAAAAGATTTTAAAGAATCAGACTGCAAAAGCATATAATATCCCCATCCTTTCATTAATATTATAAAATTCATCAAATGGGATGCATTACTTTTGTAAAATCTGTTTTTTCCTTTCTCTCTCCCCCTTCTTCTTCCACCTCCATACACTGGTAAAAGATTTTCTTTTAGAAATTCCATGTTGGTCATGACTCCCCTGCCAGACAGATGCCCTTCAAGCTTGCTTCTACGATGCTTCAGGATTTCAGTTCAGCTTCCTGATGCCACAGAGCCACCACAACAAAGGGGAGAATTATTTTCCCTGCCTACTTACATACAGAAGGTGGGGGATCTTGAACTAGCCTAGCAGCTTACGGCACTGATCCATGTAATTGTGTAGTAGTCATTCTCACTTACAGTTCTCCAATATTTAGGATATCGGTTTGTTATTTTATTTTGCTTCTCTAAACAGGCCACAGACTCTGGAAGTGGGATGCTATCACAAGGATGGTTTCCAGTTCATGGCCTTTATAGTGAGGAACTAAAAACCTGAGTGTAGTCTTGCATCTTAATTAATGCCTTGTTAACTTATGAACAATTTAAGACCAACAAATGACCCATTGGAAAAACCCTGTGCAACAGGGCAACACAGTGTGGAAATCAGACCACATAATGTACCAGCAGAAAGAATCAACCAAGGAATCCAACCCCAAACCCTACAGAAACTTTCTGTAGTGAAGGACATGGTCTTAGACATACAGGGGCACGTTTTTGTTTTTTCAGAAATCAGTCACAAATCACACTTTGCAATCAGGTTAAACATTAACCCCAGGACATTTTGGATACACAACTCCAGAAGGAAACTGCTCAGGTACTGCTAGTACAGGTGCAATCTGTAATGCCAGCAGGATCAGATGGGCACAGGAAACTCTGCCACTGTACCACCTGACACTACTGTGAGCAGGTCTAGATAGCAAGATGGTAAAACCTCAGCAGCCTTGATTATGTTGTGGCTTCCTCAGCTACAATTCTCACTATCCTTGCATTAACAATGCCACCAACACTGTGAAGCCTTAGCTTTCATGCCCTAGAACTAAATGGCTTTATACCCCATTCTTGTATTCCCTATCTATTCACCTGAAAATAAACGCGTTCTCTTAATCACAGCCTGTGCTAGAACTTATCATCTTTATCCTTTCTAGCCACCAACCAGGCTGCTGCTGCTATTCAAATAAAATTAAAAGTAAAATATAAAGTATAATATACTATCTGCTTATACTTCCTCACCTCTTTTCTTTAGTGCGTTATTAGCCCACTGTTGTTTATGGGTGGGATTTCAATCTTTACCAAGCAATCTGAGTACACAAAAACTTTACCCTTAGGCTCTGAAGGGAAGTTATTCTGTTTTAATGCAGAAGTTAAAAGTTTCTACAGTTAAAAGAGATACCATAGAAACTCCAGGTCCCAGAAACCTTCCACTCAGATCAGCCTGGAGCATTACCTTCCCAGACTTTCAGTTTCTGGAGGAAGTTGCATTAATGGTGACAAGAGCTGTAGGGCATATGGTGGAAACCTCAAGGGTATAGTTGGCCTGTAGGTTGCATTTTGAACACCTCCGAAATAATGTCTGTTATACGTCTTCCTGCTTCAGCATGTTTTGCAGTTTGGGAAACTGCAAAACTTCTGGAAAATTACCATAAAGAAGTAAATAAAAGTAAACTATACTCACGGATTAGAATGAGGAGGGGCTTAAACAAAGACATTTCAAAGAATGTTCTGCAATTCTTAACAAAGGGGTCATCAGGATTCTTCTGAGAATCCACCTCAGTACCAAAAGCTACGCTACCAACGACATCCAAGGTAAAGCAGTTGTAACACCTGCATTGAGTTAAAGAATGATAAATCATTAGCTACAGATTAAATATCCACTAATATCTTGCTTTTCCAAACTTCAAATAACATTAATTTTTGCCTCTGATTTTCTTTTTGCTTTCAGATTTTAGCTTTGCCAATATGAGATGTTTCCACAATTTTGACAAATAGCAGTGCTTAATAACGATCACCTTCTCTCCAAACACATTTTCATATAGCTCAATAATTCCACTAAAAATTTATAAAAAATAAGCAATTTCATTTATTATTACCTAGAAATCAAATACAAGTCAGAGATTCATAGCATTTTCTTAATATGCATCCTAATAGGAGATAATTCCTTTCTCATTTTAAACTGCAGAGGCCACATCTACTACCTGTCTAATCTACACTCTTAGTGACAAGAAGTGCTTAAGTAAAATTCCCCCTGTTAAGGATTTCAGCTGTCTTCTTTTGTAATGTAAAATCGTGGTCAAAACCAAGAGGAACTGACACCATGTGAAATCCGTATCTCTGCAGAGGAGCAGCAGATGCTTTGAGAACTACAAATGATCTGTTGACCATGATCTAGAAACTTCAGAACATACAGAGTCTCTCCCTGCATACACGACCGTCTACCCAATTGTCTCACTATTTCTATTTCTAATGGGCATTAGCAGATATATTTAGTTTTGAGATAAATTGATTGAGAATGTAAAATACCCTAGAAACGTGATTCTTCTAATCTGTGGTTAAGTTTACAATCACTGTTCTTCTAGGTTCCCTTACAAAAGACTAATATCAAATTCTCTGGTGTTTTAACCTGAATGAGCATGCATTAAGACCAGGACAGCATTCAGGCCCAGTACAATCTATATATATATTGTGATCTTTGGGCATTGTCATTCTCATGACACCAGAGCAGATTTGGAAGATAATAACAGTACTGAAAAGCTAAGGAACTTCTTTCAGTGTTCAACTCTTACACACACACACACAAATTTTATTGGAAGTTGAAATGTTAAAAGATGGGACACTGCGATAAAACAATAATTTCAGAAGCAATCAAACATTCACTTCTCCAAGGTATTGAAAAAGCTTAAGAACTAAATTTTGAGTTGTTGGTGAAACACAAAATAGTGTAAGACAACTAAAGTACAAGTCAACAGGAGGCTGCAGTTAGGGTATTTACACCCAAAAAATAGCTCCCAAGCAAAATCTGGGAAACTGCAGTGCAATGAGAATCACATTTTTATATGCCAAACCTGCTGAAATGGTAGTATGATAAAACAACTGGAAGATCATACTCTGAGATGGTCAACATCATTCATTTCTACTTTCAAGAGGTCTTTTCCAAAGTGCCTCTTGAGAGGTGAAACCCTATCATGGATCAATAGCTAAAAGACCAGGCAAAGAAAAAGGACTAATGGAAAAAAGGGAAAAGCCTGGGAGGACTCAAAAGGTCAATTTTCATCAGAGCACTAGGCTAAGCGTAATGTATCTCAAGGTTTCATAGCATCTCTTCAGATGTTTAATAAAGAGATCTCTGTGCACACATATACACTTCTGCATGTAATTGAAAATAGATGGTGAATCGTTGCTAAATATCTATTTCTTTACATGAAACAAATTATTATTTGCACTGCTCTGGTTTGGGGGAAATCACAAAGAACTTCAGAAGGGACTGGCCAACCTAACAAATGAAGTGTATGCAAAATAGCGGCTATTAGAAAGAATGCATTTGAAGTACTCATATGCCATGCAGGGTCCTAGAAGAAATGCATCTGTCGAGAGAAGGGCCTAGACAGTATTGTGAACAGTTCACTGAAGACCTCTGATGAAAGAGAAACAAAAAAGATAATAGGATATTAAATGCATAACAAATGGGAAAAGCACAGTATGGAAAGTATTTGTGTCATTTTATAAATCAATGGTGCATTCTCATCTGGAGAACTGATCCTGGCGTTTCACAAGAGGCTATTGTGCCATTAGAGGGGGTTAGGAGGAATGTGGTAAGAATGATTAAGTGTTCAAAAAATCTCATATAAAAAAAAAAAAGCAAGAGGGTGATGGGCTAGAGGGATTTGATACTAGATCAATTCCTGTATTTGTGTATTATCGGCAGACTGTAGAGAGCAGACTGGACAGGGACTGATGCAGCTTTCCTTTCTGCTTCCAGCTGTTAAAACTTCATTAAACAACAGCTAGAAATACATTAGATGCTTTTCCAAAATTACTTTTCAAGTATGCAATGCCTGCCCCTAGGAAGAAAAGGCATCTATCAGATACATCCTCTATTAAGCTATGATCTCCACTTATAAAAATGAAGGAGGAAAAAAAAATCTTCTTTTATACAGTAAGCACATATTTAGAATAACTGCTGCTATTGACTTTTTTGTTTTGTTTTGTTTAAATCTGTTACTAATTTCTGGCATGTTGAACATACCTCTGGATATCAAAAGCTTTGCCAGAATCTGCATAGACTTTCAAGTTGCACAGCAGGACGTCACAGGCCTGGTTTACTAGCGGTGTCATCTAGAAAGGAACACATTGTATTGTGAAAAACATTGAAATCTTAAAAAAAAAATTAAAAAAATCAATTATTCTAAAATAGTTTTATCCAGTACATGGGAGGGAGCTCTCAGGATCCTCTGCAGGTGTGGTCAGGCACTTTTGCACAGGTAAGATGAAATGCTGGGACTGTCTGCTAAAAATGAACCTATACATTACAGTGATGCCCTTCTCCAGCTCTGGGCCTAAACACAAAAGGCCCTGTCACTTACCTGACCTTTTGTTCTTGCCCACCTGTGCGAGAGTGGTCAAGCAAAGTCATCCCCCTCTCTTTGTAACGATTCCTTATTCCAACTGATGAATTATCACAGTTCATATTTACAGTACATTACATTTAGGTTACATACGCTCCAGGGTAGAAAGAATAATATTTTCCATAGTTCCAAAGTCCTGTAAAGATATTAGCATCAGAGGCCCAGCATTGCCATCCTGCTATCCCTCTGAGGGATTTAACATTGTCCTGATTTGAGCAACACAGGACTAATTTCTCTTTCAGTAATTTTACTTTTCAGTAAAGTACCTTCTAATGCTTGGGAAAACTGTACTTTCAGAAGACTCTAGTGTCAGAATTTGTGAAAATATTTACTTTACAGCCAGCTATGGCATGTAGGTTTCAAGGTCTCAGTGTTTTCATGCTAGCCAGGTGTGGGATCAAGGAGGAACAAGACCTGGGCACTTGACCCAAGCTGCTTAACAGGACTATTTCACACCATGAACATCACATTCAATATAAATTAGAAAGTTTGCTGAGGAGTTCCCTCTCTCTTATGATGGCTGTGATCCTGAGAACGTCTTGCCCTGGTACTGGACCCCTGAGGTCTTCTTTTCCTCCCAAAGGCATAGGGCTCACAGTGTCTGACATTTGCTGTCCACTGCTGGGACTGCACAGCTTCCAGCTGATAGAATGGGCTGAGAGCAATCCTTGTAGATTTTAGATATCAATATTGGTTCTTTAGTGTTATTAATGTTAATTATCTAGTCTTATCCTATTAAATCTGTTTATATTTCAGTCCTCAAATTTCCTTGTTTTTTCCCAATTCCCCTTCCTGGGTAGGGAGGGGTCATTGGGTGATAGAATAATTGCCTAAATGACATTAAATTGTTGTGGGTTCCTCAAACCATAACAAACATGTACATTAGAAAAGCACCATATATACCACTACAAGTTGCTGCAGCCAAACTGCTATTGATACCTGAGGAAAGGTATTTCTGGCGTGGTGGTGCCATTAAATGGACATTCACATGAGTTTTTTCCAGTCACTGACACATGATGGTCAGGCGGACTTATCCACAGCCTGGCTGTAGCTAACAGTGCAATAGTCTCCTCATTAGCACTTCATGGAAACCATGACATTGGCAACTATCAAGACCTGATTAAAGTCTCTCTCTAATTTTTTACATACGACAGGCATCAGGCACTTGTCTTGATTACACCTACTAGGGGGGCAGAGAAAGGGTGTAGCAACAATCCAGCCATGACCCTAAAGGTGTTATCTGCTATGGCTTTTTCTCCATCTAGACTGCTGAGAGACCCTCATAGCCTACAATTTAACACCACAGTCTCGCCTCAAGAATTAATCCAGGCATCAGCAGACACATGCACAGAAACCTGCCTTTCCTTCCTGAACAACCTCCTTCAGCATACGGGTGTCAACAAACATGAGAACAGACTTGTCCTACTCCTCTGCCATTCTTGTTACCAAAAAAGACTTACTGCAGCCTCTCAGCACACTCTGAGAGCTATACAGCCTGCCCAGCCAAGTCCATTTTGCTTGGCACTTCTGTCTCTGTGAAACTGGCATAACACTTTGTGCACAGGCACACTGCCATCCTAACACATGGGCAAGACTATACGCAGTCAAAAGGCCAATGTGGGAGCATCCAACATGTTTTCCAAAGGCAGAAGTCTGAGTCAAGAATGTGTCTAGCTGCTCTTGAGGTCCTGTACCTACATGGGACAGAGCAGGTTGTCGCTGTTTCAGTTCAAAGCCAGACTGATTTGGGCTTCGCCATAGTCTCACAAGACAATTCAGAAACCAGATTAGTGTTCTGTAAAAGTAGCTGGTGTGCATTTAAGAGGTGAACACCACAATACGTGGCAGTTTTCTTCACTTTTCTTCACTTTTGGCTTTCTAAAGAAGGTCCCCTGCAGTGAGCTTCTTCTCAAATGGTTCAACAAAATGAACATATTTCTGTTCAACAGATTGAACCAGGGTGAAATGCTTTATAAACTCTGGGCCCAGCCCCTCCAATGAACTGAACCAGTCAAGGAGAACAAAATGAAAATCCACATTTTAACAGGTATGATGTTTCCTAAACAGATGGCGATCATTTCAGATTTTTCTTTTATTGCCTTATTTTCTCTTTTATTCTTCATCACACCACCAGACCTGCAACCACCCAGCTGGTTGCTATTTCTTTCCAACAGCTGGCAGAGATGGTAGGGGCACGTATGCTTGGCCAGGGCATCTCACAGCACCTCTGCACTTTCCACATTCCACCAGCCTTTCAAAATACCATTGCAATTCATTTCTAGCCACAAAATATTTTTATTAGTAAATCTAACCAGGAAAATGGGGATAGGGGCACATGGATTTGATTTATTGTTAGTGTGATAGGACAGAGTCATGCAATTATTTGCATATGAAAGCTACGGGGGATATCTACTTGGGAATCCTGGGTTTGGGCTTTTATTCCCCTGAGGGACATAAATTAGTCCAAGATTGCTAACTAAAAAGACCACAGACTGAAACATTCTCAAGTCTCTTAACACTTTAAACACTTTGTTCAATTGTCAAGAAAAATAAAGTTGTGCTGGGGGAGGTGAACTATACCAAACTTTGAAAACTGGCACAGAAACAGACATGTTGATCTGCACCGCCTTGGGTACCACTAACTTCCTATACATTCTCATTTGCCAGTCAGAACATAAAAGCTCCATAACCTGCATGAGATTCAGTTCTTGGTGGGTAAACAAACCCCAGCTGCTCTGTGTTCAGATTGGCTGAGAGTAACAGGATGAAGAAAAATCTAAACAATATGGTCCCTGTAAATATTTGATCTGCCAGTTATCTAATAGCAAGAGTAGCCCAGAGTCCAAATTTCTTGCTTTCTGCCAAAGAAGAGCATTTGGGGTTAGGGTTTTCATGATGCCAGGGGCTTTGCTGTATAAATCCTGCCAATATGCTATTTGGCACATAACAACAATTAGTTTCTGATTCTGCGTACGCACAGTGCATGGGGATGTTTGCACTGTTCAAAGGCATCAGAGTCACGTTCCTCTAGTTAGATGTGGTCATCAGTATTCACTACTTGTTAGCACCCAAACTATAATATAGAAGGCTGGATCATATTCACTGTAGACAGACATACGGGAGACTTTACTGTTCACATACAGTAGGCAGAACCCATGTTGGGCCTCTCATTCCACAAATGGGATGAGATATAAAGGAAGGAGAAGGAAAAAGGATACATCCCTTACGTAAGAATTGCTTCTGTGTCAGATTTCAAGTCCCTGACTAAAACCGAAAAAAGAGCGAGTGTCTGGAAGGTGTTTGCGGGAGGATTTGTTTCCATCACCTCAGAGTGGGGCCCTGCCATTCTTGGGCACAACTTAAAAAAGTGAGCAACTCAACCAGACACTGACTTGTGGCTCAAGGATATGCACATTGCACTTATCAGCTTAGCGATCACGTTAGTGATTTGCTTTGTCTCAAGTGAGCACACTTGCTTTAGCAATTTCCAGAGACCCTTCCAAAATGCCTCTGATCAATGTGCACAAGCAGAGTAAGAGCAAATCAAGGAAACCTCAATGGTTGGTCTGTCAGATCTTATGTCTTAGTGGGACCTGGAAGATCTATGTGCCTGAGACTGACACTGGAGGACTTCCTGCACTGTTCTGCCATGTTATTACAAGTTCTGCTTTGTGTCTCCCTTTGTTTGAAAGAAAATGCCTCAACACAAACTCCACTTTGCAGGTTATTTAAGACAATGCTACATTATGCTGTGGTCTCTTCTTTAATTTTTCCATTCTGTTTTATTTTAATGGTTGGTTAATGGAGGAGACGATTACTGGCATACTGATAGGAGATGACAAGACTACTGCAGCACCATCAGAATAAATAAAAATCAATAGGTTTTCTGCTGGTGTTGGCTGTAAAAGAAAGCAAAGCTATTTATCAAGTCTGACAAGGGGTCCAGAACTGCAGGATCATCACAGGCACCACAGCAAAAAGAAGAGGAACCAAATAAGAAATACTAAACAGGGAATCAAGATCAGTACAGCAAGATCACTAACATATCACCTTGTTTCAATACATAATAACCGAGGAGAGCATGACAGGAACATCATGAAATGCACCTTTTACTTAAGGGCCTCCAGGTATTTTATTTCACCAATTCTTCATGAATTACATCTTTAATCAACTTTCAGTGGTTAGTATTACTCCCATTTAACAGAAGAAAGTAGTTTCTGCACAGAGAATTTCAGTAGTTTCTGCCAGGTCACCCACAGGCAATCAATGGCAGAGCTGGAAGTGAAACTTCTTGGGTGTCCTGCCTGCTTTCTCTCATTTCTTCTTCTTAGTGTTCCCATAGTAATGACACTACAAGGTCCATTCAGGGGTGTCACTGGAAAGAGCTTATTATAAGATCAGCTACTAAATCAATTGGCATCTCATGTTGGATGCTACCAAATCTTACTGCAGGATCAAGCTTACAAGTCCATTGATTTATGCTATGCTCACCACTATCATATTTGAATTTAATGTTATCTGGAGCCAAACCTTCCTTCAGTGGAGTGGACTGCTTTACTAATCTTTACATACTCGTTAGAAAAAGAAAATTAAAAAGGGAGAACACACAACGTATAGCAAGTCATAAAAGCAACAGTGAAATAGTGCACGGCTTTAAAGAGAAGTTAAGGAGACAGAGAGAGAAAACTGGAGAAGACGCTAGAAAATCTTGAAAGATCTTGGGGGAAAATCTCTCTGCATATAAGCAGCAATCGCTGCTCTGACTGCCCAACAGCTCTGTAACATCTAGCTTTAGTTAATTGCTTGTAACTTTGCAAAATTCAAAATTTCTGGGATCAACTTTTCCTCATTTGGTGATTGGCTCTTGGAGATTTTTGCCAAACTAAGGGGAAATTCCACAAATGTAGAGAACTTCCCAGTGAAACTACACCGCTTCTGTGGAGAGACAAGAGCAAAGTACGCCTCTGTCCCCAGCCACAGCAGCTAGATGCCTCTGCGGGGCATCATGGGTCAAACCTTTGCAACACACATTAGCTCTGTCTTGGGTTTTGTCCTCCAGCAGCCAGGTCAAAGACTGCCTTCTCGTTATTGCTATGCCAAAGCTCTCCTTTAGTCTAGTAGTAGATTCTTGTGTTTCTGAAATGGAGATAACAGGAACCTATGCTCAACTCTCCATCTCCCTGTGCATCTTTTATCTGAAGTGATTGCTATGGGGAGCACAAGGAGTTGTTAACATCTATTGCTCTGTCACAGGCTAATAGCTCCCTGTTCTCTCAGAGCATCTGGACAGACAAGTCGATGTTCGGACTGGGACTAAGGACTGAGATGCTCAAGGGGAACCACTCTCCAAAGCTATCTCGGGAGGTCTGCAGTCTCTCCAGCATCACTGGGAAGTTTGCATAGGGAAACAAAGGCCATGCAGACATCCAGAGTACACCCCACTTTGGTGTGGGGTTTTGTCAGAGTTCAGGTCTCTGTGGCAAAGGAATCAATATCTTCAGGGAAGAAATGAGGAATGTGTCCAGCAGTATTTACAAATACGTATAAAACAACATATCCAGGTTCTTCTGCAATAAATCAGTACCAAAACTAGCTTACTTGTAACTCCTTTGAGGCAGAGAGAAAGAGTTTATAATAAACAGGATGTCTTCTACATAACTCTGAATACTCTGTAGTATGGTCAATACTTGAACACAGTATTTTTATTTCCATGGTGCTATAGATGTTCTGAGAGAGTACTAAATATGGGAGAGTTAAAAAGTGAGATCATAATTAATGAGCATTGATTTCCTTTGAGAAGTGTTGGTATGCCTTCTAAATTAAGCAACAGCAAGAGAAGCACATGGGCGAGGACTTAAGTTGCATTAACTTCAAATCCCAGGACCGTTCATGTATTTGGACAGAAAATGAAATGCAAGGCTGAGGAGAGCATCCATTCAAAAGAGGTTCTTAATCTCACATGGACTTACTGCAAGTCCCTCTTTGTGTAGGACAGACAGTTTTCTGGTGAAGGCATGGGAAAGAGGAACAAAGTTGGGGCTTTCAGAGACATTCCCCACACTTTGTTTTCCCACTTTCTGTAGACTGGGAGGAGAAAGTGACCATTTCCAGGTCACCCTAAGCCCACACACAATCACACCCCTTCCACAGAGTTTGGAAGAGGCAGCATAGGGAAAGCCGATTATCAGGCTAAAAATAAAGACCTCAGTTTTCGCTTGTAAGACAGCTACCATGCACTAACCAGCTCTCCATTTTACTTCCTACCACTGCTCTCCTCCTGTGTTGCAGCTCCACCACCAAGCAGTGCACAGTGAGCACCGTGACTTCTCCTACCTCGGTGTAATTGGTCAAACCCTGTAAACCCATGTCTGCCCGGCCCCAGAGAGTGATGCCCAGGGCCTCCACCTGCTCACCCTCACCGCTCTCCTCTGCTTGGCTTTTGCTGGCAGAGGTGGCTCTCCGCAAATTGAGGGGAGTGTGGCTTTATCTTTTGTTAGTCCACCAGCAAAGAGCCGATGACCTGCAGTAAGGCAGATTAATTTCCGCTAGGAAAATGCAAAACTCTCCTCTCCCCACAACGCCACGAGCAACTGATCGTTTGCATATTTAAGCATCCTTAGCCTCGCTAAAATTTCGCGATGGAACCTGTGACAGAGCAAATGTCGGGGCGCATAACCAATGGCGTTGTCAGTCGTGATTAATCAGCATCTCTGCCAGGCTGGCGGCCAATTAGAATTTACCATAATAAGGAGGTGACAGCCGGCGTTGCTAAGCGACCGCTGTCTATAGAGCTGGGAGAGCCAGACACATTTAGATGTTACTGTGGATTTCGACAGCGGCATGTCAAAACAACACAAGCGTCTGCCCAGTGGAAAATTTTACAACCCAGGACTGGGCACCGGAGTGAGGCACGGCTCCCTTTCAGAATAAAATACAGAAAGGGAGAGGTGGTTTTTGTTGTTGTTGTTGGTTTTTTCCCCTCCCCTTCCCCCTTGAAAGACGACTTCAAGCAGTCAATCATTTATCTGTGTTTAATTAAGAGATATCGTGCCACTGGAATAGGACTTTGTTACCCGGTAATGGGTTCCCATGGCTAAGTAAATGGTGAGACATTCATAGGAAATTAGCAGCAGGTCAGCATGGAGACATTTATTTTCAGTCAGAGGTATTTATCTGGCAATGACATTCTGTTCCAGTGACTTATTTTATTATATGAAAGGATTAAAGAATAAAAGGAGGAGGGGGGAAGGAGATGGAGAAATGAAAATAGACTGACAGCAGTTCCTGTGTTAACGTGAGAGCTGCTGACTCTGCAAATCACAAAAAGCTATGTTCCAACTGGGAGCAATAACCTTTCCCGTACTTTAGCTTGCTCCTAACAGGGCCGGAGGAAGGAAGGTCTAAGGCTCCTTTTTGAGTTTGCTACACTTTTATGGACAAACTGTTTTATATAAAGACAGAGGATCATATTCTCAGACGAGCTATTCTGATTTTCACCAATCTCTGACCTGGACCACACTATACGTATGCTCAACTGCACACGCTCTTTGGGTCTAAATAACCTGGCATAAAGTAGCAGTTTTTTACCTGTTCTTTATCTCGAGCTATATAAAGTAGGTGCTTGCATGAAAAAAAACCCCTACTATATCATCTAAATTAAGAATGCAATATAGCCTATATCTTACCTCTTTCAGTTTGGTATCGCTGAAGGCTGGGGCCAGGAGGCTACGGACATACTTCCATCTGTCATCACGAAGACAAAGGATGCTGTCAAGCATTGGCTTGGAAATCAAGTTCGGCTTCTAAGACAAAAGAAAACATGATTTAGTTTTCACACAAATGCAACTAGAGCTACTCAAGACTCTGGAACTTGGAAATATTGGCCATGAATGGTGTTGCACTGCTGTCCCAACAGGAGAGAGGTCTGAATCAGTCCCAAAACACCAAGCTAAACATAGATGAGGCTAGAGAAAATTTTCTCTTTTGCTGCATGCATTTCCTCCTGGACTTGCAAAAAATCCCTGGGCCAGTCCAGTAGCTCCTTGCTTAGGCTGTTCTGGTTGTGTTGTTCCTGGTGTTCTCCTGAGATTGCCAGCTCTCCTTTGCTGAACCCTGGCTTCTTTCCTCCCTTTCTAAGGTGACTAGCAAGAGGACCTGTCAACACTCCCTCTCCGTGTGACATGAGTGCCAACGCACCGCACGTGGGTGTCGGTGGGGGACACGATTTCTGGTGACAGCTGGTATGTCAGACTGTTACATGCATTTTAAAAGTCTTCAGAAAATATGTTGATTAGAAAGCAAGTCCCAGTCCTTACTCCATCTATAAGGAACACCCTCACTAAGAAGTTGTGCCCTGGGACTCTTACAGCTTCAGCAGTTAGTCAAACGTAGTAATTTAAAGCACTGCCCCATGAACATCTGTACCAAGATGACTGCTAAAGGATTTGCTAAACTTTAATCCCCAATACCAACTAAAAAAATCCCTATCCAGACAATAGTGATATTCATCAAGGAGTAAAGGGATAAAAATGATGAAAGAGGAAGCATGTCAGAAAACAGCGCAATTATGCCTGGAAGAAGCATCAGGCGATGTCCAGCCCCATAGCAGAATCTACTAAAACTTATATTATTGCCACAGGATGTTTCCTAATTGTTCTTGAAGGCCTCCAACAATGGAGATTCAATAATCTCCCCACGCAGACTCTTCCAGTGCTGGACTACTCTTACCATGATAACGCCATCTCTCCTGCTAGAACATTGGTCTTTAGTCCTTGTGCTATCACAGGTATAGAAAACAGGTTATTCTCTCCCTCTTTGCAGCACCCCACATGTACAGAAGGCTATAATAACCACTAATCATATTACTGCCATCTACACCAAATAACACCAATTCACTCAATAAATATTTATCAGTCATGTTATCTGGGATGGTTTGTTCAGTCTTGTTGCTGCCCCTCTGCATAGTGTTGTTGATTTACATCTTTATCAATGTACAGTCCTTGTGACTTGACATGGTACTCCAGCCAAGGAGGGTGTTTTTTCATGTGTTCTGCAGGCTATATTCACCCCAAAATACTATATAACACAAATGATGATGTCATCTCATGTTCCAGCTTGTGATTCCCCGCAACTCTCAGACTTTTTTCTGAATAATTAATCCCTAGGAATATATTCCCCAGTCTTTATCATTGAAGTTGGTTACTCCTAAGAGTCATGTATAGAACATGCCCTTGTTGAACTGTGACCATTCTTTTTATGGTTACTTCTCCAACTGATCAAGAGCACTTTGAATTGTAGCCCTTTTTTTCATAGCGTCTTTCATCCTTGCCAGCTTAGTGCCTTCTATATAGATTGTTATCACACTCAGTGCCACCATCTAACCCACTAACAAACGTACAGAATAGCACTTGCAAAGAAGCCACCTCAGGGATCCTCCAAGCTCAAGCTTCCCTTCTGACAATGGACTGTTCCCAGACACTTTCCATGTCATCTTCAATCAGTATTTCAGGTATTGTACAGCAGTGCCCTCCAGACAAACCATCCTAAAATTGGTGGCTGGGGGTGGAAGGTGTAGACTTCTGTAGATACCAGGCTGCATAAAGACACTTATTTGTGCATATGAGATCTACTAGCACCCAGGCCCCTGCCTTCCAGCCCAGGGTAGCAGTGGCAGTATAGTCTCCCATGTTATCAATAGCAGCAGTATCCACTTTACTGGGAAAGACCCAAACAAACCAAAGCCACTTTGGCCTTCCCAATGCCATCTGTTGATCCCTTTCACCCTCTAACATTTTCTTTCAGTCTTGCTTTCATTACTAATTTACATGAAAAATGAGTTCATACCACCTGTTACACACCTGGATACTTTAAGCTTATTTTTGCCTCAATATTTCTGATTTTATTTGTCCCTATATGCTATTTTTTTATCTGTGTTCTTGGAAATCTGACCTACTTCCCACTCTGTAAAAAAACTTCTCTTCAGGGGCCATGAAGAGTTGACAATTTAGCTACTCTGGTCTTCTGCTCACTTCCTTAACTTTCCTCCTTATTGGAAGAGTTTTCACTTAATATCTTCTCTTTAAGGAGCTGCCAGCTCTCCTTAACACCTTTTTCCTTTACACATGCCAGAATCTCGCTACACTGCATAAGCCTGAAAAATGCAGAAGCCTATTTTATATTGCAAACAGGCTAATGGGATAGTTTTACATTCTTAGCAACACCACCCAGTGTAGTAAACTAATGTCACTGAGCTGACACTACGGACCAGTTTTGAGCAAAGATGAGCTGTTTTGAAATAGAAGAGCACGTAGCACGATATTGAGCTGAAGGAAGAGACTGACTCAGGTACTTTCATCAGATGACTACTGTAAGATAAAATATGGGCACGTTTTTAAGGTATACATAGACTATACTATTTTGTGCAATAAGAATGAAGATTTGGGACAGGCTATCAAAGCTGAAATTATTTAGACTGTTTTCTCTGAGTATCCTCTTTAAATAAATGATCTGTTTTCTAACTTGTCAGCAGGTATCTGTTCTGAGGATCAGAAGCACAGCTAGAGAGACCATCACTCACTGCAGCACTGCCTCTTTTGTTACAGATACTCAAAGGCATAGTAGCATCAGAAGAAAGAGGCTCCAGACAACTGGAAAGGAGCATCATCCTTGGAGAAAGTGCTGCATGCTAGCCTCTGCTTCACAGTTCTTATGTGCTACCAGGGAAGCCCTTTACACTAAATCTTGACTCGGCTGGTCACCAAATAAGTATTCCTTACATTTTTAGTCTTCAGTTTCAAGCCCTGAGGCCCAGACTGCAGAGCTCCTGAGCACTCACTAATGCCACTGAAATAAACAGCAGGGAATGTGTCTTGATCACATGTAACGCATTAGTCCAAGAAATCAGGTCATTGAACGGAGCCCCCAAATTAGAAAACACTCTTGGACCTCTGCTTCAACCACCAGCCTTCACTCCTCTTTTATAAAGTGGAGATACCACATCACCTCCTCAGAACTGCTAACGATACATTAACATTTCTGAGGCACTCCGTAACTACAGTGAAAGTGCAGAATAACAATTCCCACAAGGAAATGGCTGATTTTGTCTTCCAAGCAAGGTTCTGTACAGGGAAAAAAAAATAAAAGGAAAAAATTATAGGCCAACACTTGGGAAAGTATTTTGCATCCACTCCTAAATTGAAGGCTGCCCAGACTGTGCACTCTATAAGACAAATCTCCTCTGGAAGACAAGGCTACACTTAGATAATAACAGATGCAATATAAATCTGACTGCATTTGCCTTGAAAGCAAAATCCCCTCCTAAAACCAAACATTCACCCTAAAAAATGCTCCTAATTGCATAAAGACCGTATATAGCACATTCACAGAGCGGGGCCCAGTTACTGAACAAAAAGCCTGTTAACTATAATGCTATAACTATGGCACTAACCACAGCATTGCCTTTTTAGCACTCTACTTTATGTCAGCAATGCTCCCCTGACATATTTTTTGGTGTGTATAGTATAATATATATATAAATGTCGCAAGGAAGGAAAGACAATTTAGGTCATAAATTATTTTACTCTGTCTCTTTAAACCGAGTACACAAAAATGTGTTTGTGTTTATTGGAATAGCATCAGCGTGACTGACAGGGTATAGCAGATTTCATTTATCAGGTTTTCCTTATCGTTTCTGCAAACACTTTCCTCCTAATTGTATAACCTATGTTACAGGTTCATATAGCAGGAATGAAAATGGATTTGGTATGAGAATGAGCCTGAAGTATCTTAGTGAAAGATGAAGTGTCATCTCTCTCCGAATGGACGAAGTATTAGCTGTATCTGAGAATTCTTCAGCCTATAAAAAACACTAAAAAAATTTCCATGGGAGGCAGCTCTAATATTTTCAGGAGTGGGATTTGGGTTTTTAGGTGGGGAAGGAGGTTGCTTTTAAGTCAAATGCAATCAGAGTCGTATTCCATCTAGCATTATCTAAATACTCAACAACTGCTCTGCGCTTCCTTCTCCTTTGCAATCAACCATTTCTGACCACGGTACAGTAATGCTGCCTGAAAACTACCGGCAGCCTGGTAATCTGCCGCAGCATACCTGCGAGTGGTACTCAGTTCCTACAATCACAGACATGCCATGAGAAACAACAAAGAATATTGGAGGGATTTGCTTCCAAACAAATCCTTTAAAACACCACTGCTTTTAAAACAGAAAAAAATAATAAAAAAATGTTGCAGACAAGCAGCATATTTGCAATTGATGCAAGAATTCCCTGCCCATTAAGCTGTTCCTTAGGCTGACCCTTCAGACCCAGTTATTGGCTTGTTTGTCCCTGAGTCAATTTGGCTTGCTGTGTATTACTAAATAATTCAGGGAAGTGACTCTTCTCTGGCTTTGAGGCCAAGTGGTACAGAACACCTCCAGTCCCTGAGGTTAAATCACTTTCCCGAAGAGAATGGCCATATCCAAACTGCTTACGGTCATGGTGCATGTTCACCCCCTGAACTGTGCCCAGACCATGTCTTGAGGACAAATAATCAATACAGGACAAAACCACGCTAAGAAGCATGTCAATATGGACATCTGTAGGACCAACTCATGCACTAATAACCTGTCCCTGATTTATTCTCAAGTACAACTGCAGCCTTGTGTGATTCATAAATCATTTGCTCCTTCTCTGAGTTTGTCACTGGCAGGCTAGACTGAACCTCTGGCAGGCAGCAATGACTGCCTGGAGCAGAAGGAAGGATAGCAGCACCACAGTGTTCCCTCAGAAACCTTCTTCCTTTTGCAG